AGAAGGATTGGGATAAGAAAGACGCAAAGTCAGAAATGGACTTACGTGTCTGGTGATGTGGTTCTTCTCAGAGCCTGTGGACATCCCTCATGGCCTGTCTCTTATACACATCTAGATGTGTATAAGAGACAGCCCCGGAACGGGCCCGTACGGCCGTACCTACGGCCCGTACGTTGGCCACGGGGCCATACGGACGGCCCGTATCTGTACGACGGGACGACGTAGCAGCATGCTCCATCCAGCTGAGTGGTGCAACACGAGCATGGAAAACATGTCCACAAATGGTGCACATTAAGCAAGGCCCAAGACAGCATCATAAAGAAACCACCCAGAAAACAGAGGAGACAAAACAACAACGATCATGAAAGACTGTTTTGTCAGACTTGCACTGACTCATCAAGAGGCTGCACTCTCGACGGTCTAAAGAATACCCATATTGACGTTTTGAGTCATGACATTCCTTAACCCTACTTCTAACTGGACAGCCAACAGGTTGCATCACAAGCAGTAAGGCAAGGGTGAGGCAAGAATGCACCGAAGAGAAAGCAACAGCAAAGCGCAAAGGCTGGAGGACTCGGGGTAGGTGAGGGGGCAGCCAAATTACAAGGCAAGCAGCAGGGCAGCAGGATGAGCAGCAAGGCAGCAAGGCAGCAAGGCAGCAAGACCGCGAGGCAGCAAGACCGCGAGGCACAAGGAGCAAAGCACCCAAGCGGCGGAGGGCAAGTGAAAGGGCATCCAAGCAGTGGGGCAAGCACCGACACGGCAACAACACAATGCAAGCAGAAGGGTACCCACGCAGCAATGCAGCACCAGCAAGGCGGTCCGCTCATACAGCACGGACCAAAGCAGATCATCACCTACTCACACCACAAGCGTAACTCTACAACTTTAGGTTGACACCTCCATCTGAGCTAGGTGGTCACATCGATGAATGTGTCATCACCAGGGAACATACGGACACAGGCATCCTAACAAAGCAGCCCCCCTAATAGTGTTGCAGGCAGTCCTTATAAACAGCCACTGACTATTTGGCATACCATAAAGGTGCTCACTTCGACAGAGAGGCACAGGAAAAGACCAGAGACCACACAAAGCGGACAACAGATAGGAAATCCTTACGAATTAGAAGAAGAAAACAATCGACGTTACGCATAAATATGATTGTGTGTGTGTGAGTCAGACAGAGGAGGAGGAGGAGATTAGAACGTGGGGGAGGGTTGGAAGCGGGAACAGGGTTGCAAATGTGTTTAGCATACATACGACTTGTTTTCCAAGATTCGGGCATATTTTGCTTGCTCCCAGATCCTAACTATTTGCAAGACGTCTGGCCAGTCAGCACCGAGCCTGTTGGATAAGAATAGAGCATTAACACAAAAAACGAACCGCAATTTGCACAACACAACTTGTGGTTAAGCTCCATCAATTCTTGACATTACAGTTATTATACTCACAACGACCTCTGCGAGTCTCGAGAACATGAATCATCTTTTCCTGACCACAAAAGACCACCAATTGTCTGAGCCAGGCTAAGAAAGTAGTACTGAATGCAAAAATGAGCTGCACTGACACGGTTGCATGAAGGTGAAACAAAAAAAATGCCCACAATGGCACGCTAACGAAAACAGAGGTCCTGACAAACCACACATTATGAATAAGGCCACAATCCGAAGGTTCATCGGGAGGAAAGTGTCAGAACACTGCTCGGTCGCGAGAACATGCACCGGGTAGCCAACATTCGAACATTCCACTATCTTTCAATGTGTTTGGCGTCGGCGGGAGCACTGTCAGTGGTAGTAGTTCAACTCTATGCACGTCCCTCGTGATCCATAGAGGAGCATGAGCGCTCCACGTGCTTAAGTTTGTACTCCTCCCCACTGCTCCTCCTCCCTCCGACCATCCCATTCATAATCTCCAGCACCAACACATGAGAAAACTCATGGCCCAGTGGGGAAGCGCCCATTCCTCATCATACTCCACCTCTTCCGCCAACTAATCATGAGTGTCATAATTTGTTCATGAAAGGGCAAATTCTAACTCTTAGAATGATATTGGCCGTCGTAGGCGAACTCCAACATTCGAACATTCCACAAGCTTTCAACGTGTTTGGCTGCATGGGGAGCACTATCAGTGGTAGTTCAACTCCATGCATGTCCCTCGTGATCTATACAGGAGCATGAACGCTTCACATGCTTAAGTTCGTACCCCTTCCCACTGCTCTTCCTCCTCCCTCCGACCATCCCATTCATAATCTCCAGCCCCAACACAGGGGAAAACTCATGGTCCAGTGGGGAAGCGCCCCACCTCTTCCGCCAACTTTTCATGAGTTTTCATGATTTGTTTGTGAAAAGGAAAATTCTAACTCTTTCAAAGTGCTATACC